GCAAGCTGTGCAGAAAACCGAGTGCTTACATGAAAACCGTATTTTCTCCTGATAGCTAGAGTTTTGATTTGAAAAGAGTAAATATGGCCCTCTATCCATAGGGTCTGCTTCCTGTCTTTCCCTCAGACAGTAAAGTGACTTGTAATTACCTCTCTTAAGCTGCATCCTGGAAGAATAACAGTGATTCGCCAGCACGGTAAAGCGCGGCTGAAACCCAGGGTGTATTTACTGCTATTGTTTCCGTACGCTAAGATCAGACCTTCACTGGGTGCAACAGAAGAGAAGAAATGATAGCGCGTTTCTAACTGACAGCAGCATTTCTTAGGAATTGTTAGGGAAGGAGCTGGAAGCAAAAATGGTTTTCAGAAATATAAAGATCGCAGTATAAACTCAATTTTTAAAATGCTTTTCGCTCCAATAAAATCGGAGTCATGGTGCAGAAGTCAGAGAGCTCTGTATTCCCTCGCTGTTGATATAGTGGTGTTGTCTGTTAGCCCCAAACTCTTACTGTGTCTTGAATTCTAAAGACATTTAATTTTGCCCACTTTACTGCAAGACTCTCTCACCCATGCCTCCCTGGGGCTAACTCTACTCAAGTGCATTATGGGAACTGGAAACATCAGCTATTGACTGTTGCTTCAGGGAAGGCGAGAAACTTGATGTCGGTCTTCCTGTTGGAATATCAGAGGTTGTGAATTTCTTATAATGCATATCCATGATACTTTCCCTCTTTAGTTTGTGGTTTCAGGTACAGAAATGAAGAGGTCTAGAGTGCAGAACACAGATCTCTTTGATGTTCTCCTGCAGTGCTCATTATGGTTCCCCAGAAGTAAGAAAGGCTAAGGAAGCAGTCTGTAGCACTGTTGTTTTGAAATCTGAAAGGCAGAGCTGTCATTCTGCATGTGAAAGCAGTGTTAGAACACTGTCAAGGTAACCCAAACAGCCTCCGGGGAAGCCCAGCTTTTTCTCTGTGTGTGTACCTTTGGAGGTTACAAACTCATGATCCCAGGCTTCTGTACAGCCCACAGACATACTTTGTTTTGCTTATCCACTAGTTTAAAAATACATGAATTTTGTCTTAATGTTTTAAAATTAGATTATCTCACTATCAAATCTGGGGGCTAGTGAACCTGCATAGAGGATCACCCGATGAATCCCATCGGCCAACAGTTGGCTAGCGCTGAATGGCAGTGGGCCCCTAAAGACACTGCCATTTGTCACCCCCACAATGTTCTCGGTTGTCTCACATATAGCCAGCTATGTTCACTTGCATCTCCAGCTTGTTCCTATGGAGAGTTGGGTTTGAATTCCATTCACTGAGTATCAGATTTGAGAACTGAATATGGTGACCATATCATTAATTGTCCAAGTGAGGATATTTTGCAAACAAAAGCCAGTACCTATAAATAATTACATTAAAGCCATGGGCAGAAATCCATACTGTCTCAGAAATAAATCAAGGTGTATGTACACTGTTATGTCCTAGTCCTTTCATCTACTCTGAGAAAACTGAGACCAGGACAGGGAGTGATTTGCCTGAAGTAGTTCCCAAGTAAGTCCATGGCAAAGCATCCCTGACCACTTGGACTCCCGTTCCGGTGTTTTTCTGACATAACAGGTGGGATAAGTACAAGAACCAAATCCTCTTTAGCTATATGGATGTTCTGTCGTTAATAGCTCTCATAGCCAGATGTGGTGACACACATTTGGAATCTAATCTCTCAAAAACCAGAGGCAGGGGGATTGTGAATTGCATGCCAGGCTGGGATACTTAGCAAGACTCTCTCAATAAATCACAATAAATACATAAATAAATAGCTAAGGGGCTGGAGAGATGGCTCAGCAGTTAAGAGCATTGCCTGCTCTTCCAAAGGTCTTGAGTTCAATTCCCAGGAACCATATGGTGGCTCACAACCATCTGCAATGAGGTCTAGTGCCCTCTTCTGGCCTGTAGGCATACATGCAGACAGAATGTTGTATACATAATAAATAAATATTTAAAAAAATAAATAGCTAAAATTATATGTACACATATATGTAGATATATACCTATCATCTATAAATCATATAACTAATACCATAAGAATGGGTAGCTTATATAAAGAGTAAATTTATATCATGATTCTAATTAGTTATGTGGCCCACAGCACACCTGGAGATGCTTTAAACACTGGTAGACTCCAGATCTGCAGAATAAACATAAACATAGTTTCTCATTTAACTAGATACGCATGTGCATGCACACATACACACACACATACAGCAATTGTCTGGGGACGAAAACACAACAAAAATCTGATTATCACTAAACATCTGATAACTGTTTTGTTAACCTTGTATAGTTCTCATATAATTGCCTATTATATGGTAATGAATACTAAATATGTGTGAAAGAGATGTCTAAGATTTGAATTTCTTAAATCCTTGACCATCTGTTAATTCCCTTGTTGAGTTTCCAAGGCATATTTTTAGAGAACATTCCGGATGAGACCAGTGTGTGCTTTTAATCACGTGCTCAGATTTTGGTCCCAAACTCCATCTCATCTCTTACCTAGGGAGTTGTGTAAGCCTTAGGGGCAGGCACTTCTTAGTGTTTTGTGAAGGCATGAGCCCACGTCTAGCATGAGAAGTCTCTTTCAGGACACCTTTCTTAATGCCCGCTTGGCTCTCCTTCGAAGAGACCTTGCAAACCTCAGAGCCATCTTCTGATGCCAGCTGTGCAAAGATGGAGGTTCAATAAGAGAACCCTCCTTGTCAAGGCTTGCTGCAGCTAAGCTGGCCTAACGCAGTGAAAGTATCCCTTTGGGATATACATGTAGCCTTGCAAATGTAGACCTGTCTCCCTTGCAGGAGCCTTGACCAGGAGGATGCATGTTACGATGGTATCCTCCTGCCATTGTGGAAGGTCAAGGGAACAGAGCAAGCAAAGACGGCTTTCTCCCTACTCACTAGTGTCTTTCCTCGACTGCTGTGTCCTCCCCTAGTGTCCCAGAGGTACCTTCCCCCCATTGGCCCTTGTCAGAGCTGCTTTTTGGTGGACTTCCTTATAGAAGAAGGAACCAATTACTTCTAGACTCAAAATGTAAACCACATATTTTGTTTTCCACACTTGATCTTAGCCAAAAGGCTGAGAAGCAATATAGTTGTTTCTCAATGAGCAAATTCCATGTGCACAAGTTTGTTTTTGTATGGAAATAGGACTGTGGATAGGTGCATGGAAAGGTATAGTGTGCAGTTTGTGTGTGTATATGAGTATGTGTATGCTGCGGGATAATTCTCTTGTACACTGTAAAGACTTGTCACTCATATTGGTTTAATAAAATGATGATTGACCAGTAGCCAGGCAGGGAATATAGGCAGATCAACCAGACTAAGAGACGTCTGGGAAGAGGAAAGGCAGAGACACAGTGGCCAGCAGATGCAGAGGAATCAAAATGAGAAGGCCACACTTAGAAAAGGCACCAAGCAACGTGGTTAAACATAGACAAGATATATGGGTCAATTTAAGTTGTAAGAGCCAGTTAATAATAAGCCTGTGCTAAAAGGCCAAAAAAATGTAATTAATATAAGACTCTGTGTGTTTCTTTGGGATTGAATGGCTGCAGGACTGGGTGGAACAGAAACTTCCATATACGTGTGTGTGTGTGTGTGTGTGTCTGTGTCTGTGTGTGTGTTCAATCTGGACTAATGATACTTCCAAATATACTTTTTGTTGCTTCTAGTTAAATGAGAAGATTCATTTGTATTTACCATTTAGAGTTCAAGGCTACCAATGTTTTAAACATCTCTAGATATGTTGTGGTCTAAGGCATTAATTAGATTCATAATAGAAAGTCATCGTGGGTATAAACTACAACCCTGTGTACCCGTAGAAGTATGATGTTCAACAGCTACATGTAGTCATGAGCCCTAAAAATGACAATATGTCATGGATACTGATGTAAGTGAAAAAAAAATAAAGCTATTAGGTTAATTGTTTCTGTTTGTTTGTACGTTCTTAATGTTATTGCTAGAAAAGCTGAAATCACCCATGTTGTTGGCATTAAACTGCCATTGAACAGTGCTGTTCTGGAGATGCTTGCCATGCACCAAGATGAAGGATTCAGTTGTATGCCTAAATGTACCCCAGTGACCTTTTATCATCCCAAGTCAGAGACAAAGGAAGTTTGCTAATGAGGTGGAAATAGGCAGAGTAGCTTCTGTAATGCAGGTGAGCCTCCTCCCTCACATCTTCTAGTATCGTATTTCCTGTACAGCTCTTTGCTTCCCAGAGCCCCTGAGAAGCACCTGTTCTGACACCAGCTTTGAAGCTTCTCCGCACCGTCACACAGAAGGCTCTTGGGTGCATGCAACGCCAGCTGTGGGTGCCATATGGAAAACCCATACCATATACATATGTACAGAGTGTTTCTGAAGCCAGAAGGAGTGTAGAGGAGTGTGGAACCAGTCTAGCGTTATCTCTTCATTGCCTTTGAATATTTTAATCATTGAAGTATCTTTAAGCCATAAATAGAGCCATGAAGCTAGTTAATTCTAAGTTAAAACCGAATGTGTACTTTTGTTTTTATATGGACACGGGACTGTGTACGGATTGTATGAAAATGTAGATGGAATGTTTAGGTACACATGGGTTTGACTTTCCACTGAAGTGTGTGGAGGAGGCTGTGCTCGTGCACGGAGATGGAGTGTGTCAATCTTGCTCCTGCAGGGTTTCTCGTATGGAGGCAGAGATGTCCTCTTTCTATACACAGGCAGAGATGAGGAAAGCTTCCTTTGCTGCCTCCACCTAGGCTATCTGCACTCTTCCTTTGGATGCCTGCCAGAAACGCTCAACATAGTCACTCGCTTTGACCGAGCCCAGCCTTGAGGCAGCTCTCCAACCACACAGCACACAGAGCAATGGGCGCTATGAGGTCGTGGCACTGGTGGGTGCCAGGAATTGGGCTGCATTTTCTTTGGAGTAACCTCTTTCCTTCTTATGTTCCTTCTACTTCTTCTAGGCAGGACAGGGCTGCTTGCCGATCTCTTGCCCAGTTTTGCTGTGGAGATTATGCCAGGTATTCGATCATTTAACTCTTTGTTTGCTGTCACTCCATCTGTCTGCTTCCGCACTAGTCACTAATATTGCTTGTTTGATTTGGGGGCGGGGTACATTTGTCTGCATAATGTTTGTTGTCTTTTTCCAGGATGAAGTAAGCCCCTTGGATAAGCCTTTTGTGTGTCTTCTGTTCCTAGGCCCTAAAAAAATAATGGGAATTAAGGATAAGTGGAGATGGGGACCCAGACCCTCGGTGTCAGGCATGCAGTATCATTGGTCATGTTGAGGCCCATCTCAGTATTTCACCCATACCCAAACAGTTCTGTGTCCTTGAGTACTCCTTACTTCCTAAATCATATGCTTACCCATTAACAAGTGTGCAATCATATTGCATTGCAGTGCCTTTTGTAACATTACCAAAACACCTTTTTTTATACTTAGGAAAGACATGTACTCTTCCTTCCTGCCAAAGCATGCATTCACAGACCTGTATTGCTTGTATATTTAGACACAGGAAATCCCTAGGCATCCATGGACCATATGTCAAGATCACCTTCCCCAAATATATATATATATACATTTTTTTTCATGTAGCTTCAGGTAGAAGGTACCAGTGTATGCACCAGTCTGGTGCTGCACTGTAACTTGTAATTGAAGGAGGTTCAAGGAGAAATAAAAATGAACTATAGAAAGGTTCATACCCATAGAAGGAATAGCAAGAAGTATGATTAGTCTTGATTTTTTACCACATCTTTAAAGTCTTCGTGATAGCAACAGAGAGATATAAAATATCCCTGATCATTGGGTTTGGCGTGATTGAAATTTTGAGAAACGTCCAGAGCCTCACTAATTGTTTCCTATGAACTCGTTCAGTCCTTAACCTTTAGCCGGCCAACCAAACTCGACTTTTTCCTTGTTGATGCCCTCAAGGACACAGGGAGACATTCTCCTTGTAACCGCTCTAATCAAAAGTGCCTTCAATTTGTAATCATGTATTTATTTACATAGATAAAAATGTCACAAGTAATGTTTCAAAGTAAAAATTGTATCTCCCAAGTCCACGAAAGAGTTTCTGTATTTTCTATACAGCCCTGTCCACCTCGAGTTCCTTCCCTTTGACTTCCAAGAACACATTCACAGATTTATTTACTTATTTATTTGCCTGATTAGTTATTGTGATGTGGGCACGGCTCATCTGGTACTTGCTGTGAGTCTCAGGCTAACCCTCAGTTCGTAGCAGCCTCGTTCTTCGGTCTTCCAAGTGCTGGGATTACCAGCGTGCTCTACCAAACCCGGCTCAGATAACATTGTTTTGTTTCTCAAGTGTAACTGGCTGGTCTTTTATCCTTCTATTCCCTATACTACTGCTTCTTTGCCCTATAGCTGACCCAAACCACCTCAGAGAACCCCCACCTTCTTAAGTTATGTTACTTATAAGGCCCCATCTAAAGCCTCATGCTGTCTATTATGCTCAGCAAGAATCTTCTCCACACAGTTCAAGTCAGACACAAAGTGGAAGAGAGGTTGGCCTGGACTGGAATGTATTGCCGATCGATAAATTGGGGAGGGGGGGAATTCAGAAAACATGAGATGTTTGTTTTCTCTCTGAGGGAGTGATGTTCCAACCAAAGGTCAAATGATTCGATTACTGTCATAAAACTTTTTACATGTAAAAGTTGCGTTCTCAAGTTCCCAAATTAAATATGAATTTAATAGAAGTCATAGTTAATAACCAAACTTTAAGAAAAACATTGTGTGCTGAAGGGATTTTGAATGGATGGCTTCCAATCATTTTGGTCCTTTAGCTTTTTAAAGAAAAGCATGGGTCTCACGTGTCTGTCCAGGGCTCCAGGGACAAGGTGGACTCTTCCCAAGCCAAATAGCTTAATGTTAAGACAAGCCACGTGAGAGTCACAGTCACCTTTATGCAAGCCAGATGCAATTTACTTCCTTTTACATCTTTTAGATGAGTAAATTAAGGACAATTCATGGTCAGCCTCAGACAGAGCTATGAAAATTATAGAAGTTGACAAACACATTAGCTAAGCTCATTTCAGCCTTGCCATTCATCAGTGGCCTGAACCACTTAATTCTTGGCTATGCTGGCTGGCACGGTCATCTTGAATGTGATCAAACCAAACCCCTGCATTGGGCATAGGGGCTGTGTCTTCTCTATCTTAAAATATGCCTCTTTTTTTCCCTCACTGTGTATAGATATTGAGGTTTAAGCAAGAGTTTTGGATGTTTGCCCTGGTGCTAATGGCAGGAAAGATGCCCCAGGGAAGCAGATTAATACACACTGAGCCCAGGCCCCATAAAGATGATCTCCACAGGCCATGGAGGCACATTTCCTCTCTGTCCCCTCAAGATTTAGATTTGCAGATTTTGTTTGCTTGTTTGAGGTCTCTCATGTCCAGTGCAGGCTGCTTTGATCTTTCTGTCTCACTCAGCCTTCGGAGTCCTGGAATTGTAGGCATGGACCGCCACATAAGGCAAGAACTCAGCTTATAAACAAGATACTTCATTATGAAGGATAAGCATTTACAGTCTCCACCAGTTAGGAACCCAGCACACAAGACCCCACTCCCAGCTTTTGTCCCACCTTTATTCTGATTCTCCAGTCAGGAGCTCCAAAGTCCCCAGTCACAGGGCTGGCTACTCAGTGTACCTCAAGAGACACAGGTTACCTTACTCTCTTTTCTCTGTGCCCTAGCATTTGTCACCCCGAGTTTTTCGTGAGTCTGGGGCCCCTCCAACCTGGCTAGTTGTCCTTTCTTCCCCAGGTCCTTCCCACTCACCTCTTTTGCAGGGAGACGCCCATCCGTGTATGCCGTGCCCTGAAGGGGGGCTACCTCGAGTAGATTTCTTTGTGCATCCTTCCAGAGTGGGTGTTTGTCGGCCTGGTGATCCTGGGGATCTTCCTCTTCTTCGTGCTGGTGGGGATCTGCTGGTGCCAGTGCTGCCCGCACAGCTGCTGCTGCTATGTCCGCTGCCCATGCTGCCCAGATTCCTGCTGCTGCCCCCAGGCCTGTGAGTAGGGAGTTGTGGGGAGAGGTGGGATGAGCAAAAGAAATGTCACATCTCCATCTGGCTGCCACGTGCCTTGAGTTCTTCCTCTACCCCTTACCTCTGGGTTCAGGGAAGACCATCCCTGCTCCCCTCCTCCCCTCCATGCACATCTGCATGCACATCTGTTGGTCCACACCAGTCATGCATTCCTAATGTTCATGACACTGTAGATTAAAGGAAGGGCAGGATCAGAATGGTGATGCTGTGGAGCATTCAGGCCGAGAAAACCTGCCCTGGGTCATCCTCCTAGATGCAGAGAGCATCCGTCCTTTATAAGTGAGGTATAAAATCTGTGACTTTTGGGCACCGTCCAGCACACACCCATACGCTTTATTTACTCATATGATGAAAATGGCCACAATAGGGACCAGTTCTCATTTAAGGATTTACAGGTTTAGCTTATTGGCCAAAGCCATGAAGGCATTGAGTTTGATATCCCAACCATAAACTAAATACATCTTGAAAGAGAGAGGTACACTCCTTCTTTGAAATCTTTAGGAATGAAATGGTGTTGGAAGGAACTGGATTACTGGCTTTGCTTTAGAAAACACAGACAGGAGCCGTGTGCATACACTGTGTTTGCTTTGCTCCTCCAAGAAGCATCCCTGGAGGACCCTTTGCTAGACCCCTCTGGAGGGAGCATGGGAGCTTATAGACAGGGTGGTTCCAACTGGGGATACTACCATGACAGCTCCTGGATCCACTTCTGGGTTGCTCGGTTGCCAGAGTCTAACCACTGCAGTTCCTCACATTGCTGCCCTTTTCATGGAGCCGGAGGATTCCAGGGAGGAGTGGTATTGGTGACTCTGGTGAATTAGTTCAGTCTTGGAGGAACGAATACCTTTGTCTAGGCGCTCCCTTCGGAGAATGAAACCTCAGGGAATCGGGGTATGAGGGTTGTGGAGGGTGGGACTATATAATCTCTCTCGCTCTTCATCTCCCTCCGCAGTGTATGAAGCAGGGAAAGCTGCCAAGGCCGGGTACCCTCCCTCTGTCTCCGGTGTCCCAGGCCCCTACTCCATCCCCTCTGTCCCTTTGGGAGGAGCCCCCTCTTCTGGCATGCTGATGGACAAGCCGCATCCACCTCCCCTGGCACCAAGTGACTCCACTGGAGGAAGCCACAGTGGTAAATGTAGTCCCAGACTGCCCCACCCCCTGCTTGACTTGGGCCCCTCCCTCATTCTTTCCTCATAGGCTCAGTCAGCTCTTCAGTGATGTAGCTTTGGGAATCAGTGATCTCCATTCTAAATATGGGACCCTTCCAGCTGAGACAAGTATCTTTAGGAGCTCACATCAGGCTTTCCAAGGGCTACAGAACACTCTGACCCCTGCTTTCTTTTTTAATGTTTTTAGTAACTAAAACTCTAAAGGGAAGGAGTTTGCTACTTAAACTATGGTCATGTGGTTAAAAAGTGATCTCAGTCCCCACCCTTAGTTCATGGCTGTACAAAGCACTGCGAGGGACAGCGGGCTGTAGAATATGGCTTCTCATAGGAGGGAGTGGACCTTTATTAGGGCAATGAGATGCTGAAGAAGATGGTACTTAAAGTCCAAAGATGAAGAGGCTGGAGTTATTGCTGTCTTCATGGAGGACATGAGAGCTGAACTGGTCCAGGAAGGATGAGGAAGATTCAGGAAAACTGTGAGACTGTTGACCGTCTCAGAACAGGAAGGTCGGTAGGATAGTCAGATTCCAGAGCACAGATGTGACCACATCAGTGTCCTGCTTGTTGGGCTGCCTGGAAGAAGATAGAAGGGTTCGCTGGGCGTTAGAGAGGACCTTGATACCTCTCCAAAAGAGATGGGGCTTAGTGGAGCAAACAAGTGAGAGCCGCTGTAGGCAGATTGCTGAGCAGAGAGATGGCAGGTGGTAAGGGGGGCGGGGGAGGAGTTCGCGGGCAGAGAACCAAGCCCTAGACTACAATGTGCAGGTATGGTATATGAGCATCTGGCTTATACTGGAGACAACGGGAGTCGAAATGCCAAATCTGAGATGTCAAGAAATAAAGCCAAGGAAGACTTCAGAATGAGCCCATCATCAAGAGAGCCTCCCATGTTGCCCAGTGCGACAGATCATAGGCAGACCTTAGATGACTGGCAGAGAGGGCTGATTAGAGGGGCAGTCCGCTAATTTGTGCTGAGAGTGGAGGCCAACGAGCAAAGTAGGGTGGAGAGGTAGAGAGCTGTGGAGATACAGCTTTCCCAGAGACATTCGAACAGGATTGCAAGCTGCGGAAGTTGAAGACTGTAAGTGCCGCTGATTGAAGTGACTTCAATCTGTAGACGTGGGATGTGAGACAGGGTAGCCAGCCCACGTAATGAACCCCCAATACCTGGCTGTGGCAGAAGTAGAGATCCTCAGTGAGTAATTGGTATTTGTGTTTGTCTCTTCCCTGGGACTATTAGTAGAATTCTGACGTCTAAGACTGAGAATGAGTCACAAACTGAGAAGAAAAAGCTAATGATTAAGGATGTGTAGGGAAAGCAAGAGATAAAGACAGCATAGTCCATTTCCCTGGAGGAAGGAGTGGGCAAAAAAAAAAAGAAAAGAAAGACACTCCCCCCAGTAGAAGTTTATACATGCTTTCAATTGCTAATTTCTCTCTTCACCCCATGTCTTTTTTCTGTCTGGCCAGAACTCCTTCACCTTACTCTTTATTTAGTGAATAAGCACAATAAAATAAGTCTTATTAATAAACTACTGAGTATTTAATTATCTCCCCCCCCCTGTTTTGAGTAGGGGCCCAGGGGCTCATTGGATAGCCCTGGGTCGTCTGGAACTCGCTATGTAGATCTGGCTGGCCTTAATCTTCTTCATTCCTGCTTGTTGCGGTTTTAATCATTTGACCCCATCATATCAACCAAACTGCAATTAGAAGCAGAGAAATGAATTGACAAGAATCCCAAGGCGTGGCAGTGGCTGACCGGGCTGCTCACACTGCAGTGGATCCACGCACGAGCGATTTCTTCTGCCTTCTGTGCTGTCTCTTTCGCACAAGCCTTGTCCCTGCTGGGTGGTCCCCTTGATGACAGCAGTCCTTCTGAGCATTAGATATTTGGGGAGACAGAAGGTGTGTTTCATCTTTGTGCCACTTTTCCCAAAGTGAGAAAATGTCTCCCAGGAGCTTCCCCTCTTCTAGAAAGCCCCTTTCCAGCACTTTCATCTGAAAAAAAAAAAAAAGATTATGTCACACACTCATTCCTAACCAGATGGGCTAGAGCTCACGAAGACCCAGCTCTCAGGCCCAGACAACTGTTTTCCTTGAAGTGAGCAAAGTCGGAGTCCACTTTTTAGCCAGGAAATAGAGGAAAGATGGCAACCAGTGTTGACCATAGTTGGTCAGAAACCATGTGATCATGCCATGTGTGTCTTGTGGCACCAGACAGAGTTCTTGATACTTCCCACAAGCACATTCCTAGACACATGGGCAGCATTAGTGATGATGGTTGGCCAATTTTCATTTAATGAAGACAGATTGGGCCAATGTAGATTATTCTTTAAAGAATACAAAAACTGTTAATAAGTGCTGATTTATAAAAATATGAATTTCATCTTTTTATATCTGTATGCTGCTTCAATACATGTTAGGGTAATCATCTAGCTACAGTAATTTTTGAGTTGTATTTGTATGCAACACTTTTTTGAGCATAAGTTAGGAAAGGCATCTGTGATGAGATATTTAGAAAAGAGCCCTTTAGTTACCACATGGGAGAGGATGAGGGGTGCCCTGATTCCTTTTTCTTGTTTACAGTGGCTACTCAAGCCCTTCTCTGTTACCATGACTATGGATTTCAGGTTCTCTGCTGGATATCCATACTTGGTCTGTTTCCATAGCACAGTTCTACCCTTCTGTCTTAGTGACTCTTTCCCTCACGGTCAGGCCTCTCTCATGGAAATGCAGCCATTTGTAGAGCCCCCAACCCCAATGCTGCTTCTCACTTCTCTGCTCCTTGCAGCCACACTTCTTGGAAGTTCTTTTACCACTCAGTGTCTCCTTTACTTCCTCTTATCAACTCAGCTAATTTTTAAATGCTCCTGTCAAGCTGCCTGATTGCTAAATCCGATGTTGCATTGCAATCCTCAGCCTGCCTTGACCTCCCTAAAATGCTGGCCACCCCTGACCCAATTATCCTTTTGTGCTTATTTTCCTACCTGTTCTGCACGGTGCTGCTTTCTGACTATGTGTATCTTACTGGTGTTTGTGTCCTGCTTTTTCTATGGTCTGCCTCTCGGAAATGCTATCTATTGGTGTTCTTGCCTGGTCTGTGGTCCGCTCTCTCGAGCAAATCCTATCTACTGGTGTTCTTGCCTGGTCTGTGGCCCTCTCTCCAGCAAATCCTATCTACTGGTATTCTTGCCTGGTCTGTGGCCCTCTCTCCAGCAAATCCTATCTACTGGTATTCTTGCCTGGTCTGTGGCCCTCTCTCCAGCAAATCCTATCTATTCCCATGGCTTCAGTCATCATCCATATGCTAAACATTCCCAGTCACGATTTTTTTCTGACTTCTCTTCTGCTGCTAAATCCCATATATCCTGAATATGCTGTTCTGTATATCTATTTCTGAATGTCTCCAGCTGGATGTCTTACAGGCATTTAACCTTAGCCTCTAGGAACTCAGTCTACTCTTTCCGCTTCAAAGTCTACATAGCTTATTTTAGTGGGTAGCATCATTGCCTGCCTAGCGACTCAAATCAGAAGCAGGAATTCCACTCTTATTCCTTGTTCTTCTCTTCTCATTTGGTACCAAGGCCTTTAGATTTATACTTTAACCTTGAATTGTTTTTATTCCCCTCCATCTCTACTGTAACTATCTTGGTCTTGGTTATATGACCTTGCATAGTGAAACCGGCTTCAACCCCTTCTGTTGCCTTGCTCTGGTCCATTTTATCTCAATATCCCTGCGCTCCATTCATCCTTCTGGCAAAAGAAGTGAGTAGACAAGTAGGCTTTCAAAATGTCATTTTAAAATTAATAGAGATGTGTGCCTATATATATGCCTACTGTACACAGAATATGCAAATTTTAAGAAGCACTTCTCCCACAATTGGACTGCTGTCACCCTGGGGGTGGAATCTGGCAGCTGTTCCGTCATCCATAAACAGACTTACTGAGCTCGTTAAGACAGGGCAGGAAGAACAAGCCTCTATCCATGGAAGCACACCTTGGAGACTGCCTGTGCAGGTTTCCTAAGTCACATTTGTGCTATATATGGCGAAATTGGTTGAAAAGTCATCCAACCATAATTGGGTCAAAATAGCAACTTAAATTTTTCAGTAATAATAAGGTTTTTTTTATTATAGTTTGTCATCACTGGGAGTTTTCTAATGTTCTGTCTCTGGTAAAGCTGAAATTAGAAGACTAGTAAGAGAGGGCCTGAACCAAAGGGCTTGGGCCAGGCTGGACTGGAAACCAGAATAAATCACCAGTGACCCTGAGCTGAAACATCACCTGGGAAAGTCATTTTCTAAATATGCTACACTTTGGACAATAGTCTAGTACATTTCTTGCTAAAATATCACCAAACTCCAAAGAGTTCTCTTGCCTTTAGATTATATATAAAAACCAACCCAATATCATTTGGTTGGTTGGTTTGGGGGCATGTTAAATATATATATATAGATATATTATATTTTGCTCTATAGAAGTATAGAGTATATTATAATATATTAGGTAAGTATATTATATTCTTACTCTGTAAGGTTTTTGATGGCTTCAAATGTGTTATATAGTTCAGGCTAGCTCCAACTCAGGGCAATCCTCTGGTCTCAGTTTCATGTATGCTGGGATTATAGGCATGTGCCACAACACATGACTCTACATGTTTTCAAGTTAAGGATAATCTATAACTGGGGCCGGTAGCACACACAAATCCAGCACTGTGGAGACAGGCCAGAGGAGCTACAAATTTGAGACCAACCTGAACTGCATAGCAAGTTCAAAGTCTACCATCTCAAAAAATTTTACAAATTTTCCCTGCCCTCATAGACATTATAGTCTTAGAAATTTATAGTTTAATTAGAAAGTTGTAGTCTAGTAGCAAGGTTTCTGGAGGCTTGCTGATGGAAATAAAATGGGTAAGAAATGCAGAACAGTATATAGAAAAACTGTAATGCGGTCAGAAAGGAAGTCTGTGCTGGAGAGGATCAGAAAAGGTTTTCTGGTGACTCATATGCTCTGGAGCACATATGTGACACAGAGCCAGATTATATGGGAGTGAGAGAAGAGTTTGTGTGCTGTACAATCAAACAGCTTATAATTTTATATAAAAATAGCCACACCCTTTAAAAGGAGAAATGTCTTGTTTTTTAGCAAGTAAAACCAAATGGATGATGCTCTTAGAGTCTGACGAGCAATCATTTGCATCTGCCTTTTGACAAATTAGAAGAATTTAACTCTCTGAAGTCTCCTGGCTGCTGTGAGGGAGAAGTCGAAGCTGAAGTATTCTGCTGCATACAGCTCTTTATGATGCCAATATTGAAAGCCAGATCTGTCATCTTCCCCCGAGGCTGTAGTTGCTGTCTGTGGCTTCTCAGAGATTGATAACCATGTGCACAATCTCATCTGTATCACAATGAGGAGTGTAATTTATCCTAATGACACTGAAGACATCCTAATCTCTAATCCAAGCTTCTCCAGCTGTTGTTCAGCATAGCGCTCTCCTCTCTCTCTCTCTCTCTCTCTCTCTCTCTCTCTCTCTTTCTCTCTCTGAGACAGCTGGTACCTAGTTACAAATAGCATCAGCCATCAGCCCCTCCCTAACCGGTGACCTTTATTTTGGTGACACTGAAGATTTGCCATTAAAGTGCTTCCCATATGAAGAAGACCTGGCAGAGCCAGGGCTGCAGGTAGAGTGGACCCCTCCCTAATGCCTACAGCCATGCTGGTGTTCTTTCTTTAGATGATTAGTAATGGCAGCCACAAAACCTTCTTGCTTCCTTGGGCTACCTACTATTCAAGCCCTTCTCTCCTTGGTTAACACTCTCCAGTCAATCACCTACATAGCTTCCTGTGCCATACTTTGTAATCCACACAAAAACAAAACAAAACAAAAACCACTTGCTAGTCCAAATTTATTCACACCTTCATTCATTCGTCTGAATGTGCATGTTTTGAGTGGCTAAGACGTGCCAGGCTCTGTGTTAGATGCTAGCGATACATAGGTGAACAGAAGAATCTAGTAATTGATTTCTGGAAAGTTACGGCCTATGGATTAATGCTTACAAAGAATACACTTTCCAAAGAAGCCATGAATCCTTTCCCTTCCTAGTCTAGGAGTAATTTAGCCAACTTTTAGTATTCGTTATACGCGAAACACCATCGTAGGCACATGGACATCTTAAATCATAATATCTTCTGGAATTTTTAAAGAAGATTATGCTCATCTATATAAAGAACTTGGAATGAACTAGAATATATTAAGGCCTATAATACAAATTCAAATCAAATGATTTTTAAGTTAGGGAAAAGATTGGAACATAAAGAGACAGAATTAGAAGAACCAAAGGAAGCTCTTTTGGTGAGGTGGCATTTAAGATACCCCAGTTCACTGTGGAACATTCAAGTGCTCCACTAATTAGTTTTTAGTTGTCTTCTCTTGAAGTCATTGCATGGAAACTGAGTCCTGATGGGTCTTCACCCTCCGGAGGTCCCTCAGGAAACCAGTACCAGCATGCCTGTAAGATGCCCAGACTCCTGATTTGTAGCTCTGCACCTCATCCATCAGACATAACTGCCTTGGTGCAGACATAGCAGTTCTGTGGGATAATTGCATTTTAATTGAACAGTCTGTACCACTCTGTGAACGCCTCTGCAGAAATGGAAGAATGTGTAGCTTGATAAATAAAATCATTTCTGCTGAAAATTCCTTCTGCAGAGGGTTTATGGGTGGACCTCACCTCTGGGAGAAGGTGCCACTGAAAAGTATGTGCTGGGGACTTACTCATTTTTTTTCTAAGTCATTTGACAATTTGAGATGGACATGGCCTGCCTAGTGTTTTCTCACACAGAAAATGTGTGCACCTGCAAATGGGTGTGTGGGTGGCTTTCTTCTTCAATGCCCAGGCCATGATTAGAGCCTGTAGAATTTTAGATTTTGATCTTCCATGTAAATAGCCGGGAGGCGAGCTTTGTCCATAAAGTCATGCATCCAGAGACATAAAACACCACTTTTATTGAACGTATATACATTTCTGTGGTTTCCTCATTTTTGTGATGTGCACCCACTGTGGGAACAGGGAATGTTGGAGTGGGATTGTTCGCTACCGTTTTCCACCCCTGCTGACTAGAAGTCAGGGCCATGCTTCAGGCCACATGATCTCTGGAATACCCAAGACCGCTGCCCACTTGGGGCTTTACTCTCTTGTCTTCTTCATCTGTCTCTTTAAAAAAAAAAAAAAAAAAAACAGATAAACAAAAAACAAACCCTGCATCTCCTTCTATACTTTAGGGGAGGTATGATGCCCTAATCCAGCTAAGCTTCAGTCAACGAGACCACATGATTTCATGCCTGGCGCTGCCAAGCCAAATATTTCTGGTCATGTTCTAAAATCCTCCCTCGTCAAGGTTTTTCAACCATGAAACGTGGCTGGCGGCAGTCCTCACTTGCATGGCTGCAAGGAACAAGCACACTTGTAAACATTCAGCAGAGAACCTGGCACGTTCTCAGTGTCCAGTACGGATTGTCCGGTTGCCCCTTTCTCATCTTCATCCGCGCCCCTCCCCCATCTGTCCATTATGTTTATCGTTGTCTGATCACCCTTTGGGCTGGTGTTGGGCTAGACTTTAGGGATCTGGGACGTGAACAGCCGTGGTCTCTAACATGTGAGGGATGGAGATGGAGAAGATGGTGTTATTTCCCCTGCTTTAGTTTTGTTTTTTTCATTAAGCCCTGCAAAATAACACCTGTCTCGAGCCACAAAGCAGCGGGTCGAATTAAATTCGTCACCTATAAAAGATGGCGTTTTCTTTTCCTAAAAGGAAAAGGCTGAGGAAATAAAATGGAAGTGTGATTAGAGATTCATGTGTTGTGCGGCTTGTTTTGTGCTCCTGTGTGTGTCGTCTAGAATCTAATATTAGCTCTCAGGCACGCACCATCCAGCTTAAGGGATTTTTTTTTCCATCTCCCAGGCAACTAGAGGCTTTTGGTTTGCCTTTGTGAAGGTCTGTGCTGCTTGGGGAGCTGTCTTAAAGTTCTGTGCACTTCTACCAAGTGACAGTGGGAACCTCATGCTGGAGAGTGACGTGTGCCCTGGGCTTGGAAAGGGGTCTTTATCTCCTTTCTTTTTCATTTGAGCTTATTCCTCCAGTGCATCTCAAACGCTTTGCAGAGGCAAGCCTTCAGGATAGCTGTGGAAGGTCAGACAGCAGGAAGGGAAGGATAACAAATGGCCGAAAGTGAGCTGCAGTGGGGTTTGGTTGTTGGCCTCCAGGTTCTTTGTTCCAGTCCTCTGGTAGAGGATCTCACGTGTGCCTCCTGCGTATAAACTATAGTGTTATTATTTCTGGGTGAGTCCAAAAGAGTTGTTCTAACTGGGAACCATGTTTTCTGCTTGGCAGAATGAATGGAGCCATCCCTTTCTTGCTGCCCTGTTTTTAGCTCACTCTCTTGTGCTTTTTCCTCAACAGTTCGAAAAGGTTACCGTATCCAAGCTGACAAAGAGAGAGACTCCATGAAGGTCCTGTACTATGTCGAGAAGGAGCTGGCTCAGTTTGATCCGGCCAGAAGGATGAGAGGCAGATGTGAGCATCTGTTAATTTTATGTGACCTGTGCTTCATTCAGGATTTGGTAACTAAAGAGGATATGGGGGTCACCATATTTGAAGCTCTGAGCCAGCCCATTCGTGACACCACCACAGAAAGTACCTGAGTACGCGGAAGGGAATAGGAGTGCTGGGACTCCTATAGGATGGGACAATCACGTGCGGTTCATGTTGTGTCTGCCAGTGGGGCGGTCCGTGTTGATTGCTGTGGTTTTGTGATCCTGGGTTTAAAATGTTTCATTAGAACAGTTCCCTGACAACCCCCTTTAAGTAATACTCAAAATAGTCACTTAAGATATGGGATGGCTCAGTCAGTAAAGTCATTGCTTGAGCAAGTGTGAGCACCCATGCTCAGATCCCCATCACCCATGTAAAAGCTGGGCTAACATCACATCTACAGCCCCAGCCCTGAGCTGACCGAGACAAGCCCATCCCTGGAGCTCAATGGGCACCCATTCTAGCCAGTCAGTGAACTAAAAGACCATTTCTCAAAAACTAAGATGGAGCAGATCGAGGCAGCTACTATGGCAACCTCTTGCATTTACATAGATGAACAACCTCACACACGCATCTGAGCAGACACACATACACACCAAAGATGTGACTATTCAGGGTGAGCTGTCCCCAGCGTGAGGGGCCCCAGTATAGCAAAACCACATGCTGACTTGCCACATGGAGGCTGCAATGAAAGTGAAAGAACTCTGGTAAATGAATCTAGGAAAAAGAAGCTGGCGGTCCTCTGAGATGCCCAACCACAGAGATTGTGGGGTGAGCAAAGAAGCCGTGCCTCTTGTCAAAGAACGTTTTAATTACTAAGTCTGTTGGTGGCAGGGCCCCAGCCCTTAACTCACCCATAGCCCTGGAGACTGCAGCTGACACTGCTGATTCTTTAGAGTGGGCTCCAAATTACCGTCTATCATGGGAGGCAGCGCAGGGCAGGTCTGACTCGGATGGGCTAATTATCAAGAGGATGCTGGCAAGCCTGGCAGTGAGGTCACTAGGCACTTTCTTTGAACCCTCTTCTTCTTGGAATCAACAACAGACTTGATAGAGCTGTTGGGAAAACAGTCCCAGACTAGAGGAACCTTATTCAGATTAAGGACAACATATTCCACCCAGTTTACAATTCTAAATTCATCCTGTCTGTGTTGCAGCCATTGCTGCATCCTCCCACCATACTGACTATAAAAAGACCATCTCCAGATTGGAATGTCAGGAATGCAGATGTCAGTGCACTTGACAAGCTCGTTGTAACAGCATTGTTTTGGGTCTTTGTAAGGAGACGGAGATCCTAGATCAAGGAGAAGCTGGGGCAAGCAATCTACCAATATCATGGCTTAGAGGAAAAGCTAATAACTAGGATTAAAAGCAAAAAATGGGCTTGAGTGTGTGTGTGATGTCTCTGGACTTGACTACCTGGATCCAAATGGTCTTCAAAAACTGGGTGTTGTCAACTTAATGGAATCTCAGAGTTGAAAGGGATCCAGAGCTGGTTGGTGTCAACCTGTGCAGTGTTCAAATGAGGTATCAGAGGGCTTGGAGTGTAGTAACGGAATTAGAAGAATTTAGGTGGTTCCCAACCTTGTGACTTATATACAAAACCTTTTGAGCTAAGCCGAGATTGGCCTCCTAGCCATGACACATGTTGAGAATATGGTGGCTGATTGTTGAGACCTTAGGTCATTACTGACTCCACATCCTTCATAGAGGAAGAAATAATTGAGGAAGGGAAAATAACCACCACCAGGACTAGAACCCAGATCACCCAGCACCTCCAGGTTAGCAGGGCGACAGCGATGTGGAATGGCCCAGGACTAGAGTTCACTCTAGAGGTCAGTTCCATCCTGAAGAGCAAGAAAGCCCCAGAGCAGATCATGGAATGGTCAGTCTGGAAAATCTCATTAAAAAATAGATACCTTGGTTTCACAGATTCTGTAAGAATTGGGGGTTTGAGGTCCAGGTTCATGATTCTGTAGGCCGCTGGGATTCTCCTTTGTGTTGCCTTTATGGTAGCTACTCCTCAATGTTTACATTCTGGGAACATCTACAGCCGGAGACCGTAAACAGTATCTCCTGGACACAGGCCTTTCTACTTCTGGTTTTTAAAAGGTTTTATTGAAACACAGCCAAGCTCATTCACTTATGTATCTTCTATAACTTCTTATTGAATGGTTAGACTGAATGATTATAACCAGTATGGCTCATAAAGCCTACAATTCCCTGCGCGGTCTTTACAGAAAATGTTGGTGTGCCCCTGTCCTAAAATGACATTATTAGATGTCTGTCAAAGGGTACATCAATGTTCGTATTCGCCTTGGCAGAGATTTTCATGTGGTAGATAACCTGAGCAGCTTGTTACTGTGAGCGGTCAAATGGTGATAGTACTGTCTGAGGGCATGAAAATGTCGAATATTCCCTGAAATTTAGAGACAGTTCTGAGCCAACAACAATATTGTTTTTGCATTGGTCGAGTGTGTTTTAAAGTTGGGGTTTTTTTTTGGTATGCTTATTGGGAAATTGGAATTCATGGGAATTATGAGGGAATGTTCTAGATTTTAATCAATAGTCTATGAGATGTTTTCTTTTAAAACGGGCATCAGGGTTGGAGAGATGGCTCAGAGGGTAAGAGTGCTTGCTGTGTGGGCATGAGGACCTCAGTTTGGATCCAGACATCTATGTCAAAATCTGGGCCTGGTTGCAGTTTCCAGTAACCCCAGCTCTGTAAGGAGGCAGAGACAAGAAGATCATTGCTGGCCACCAGCCTAGCTCCAGATTTTGTGTGAGAATAGGTGAACACAAAAAGTCTTCTGACTTCTAGATGCATACACATAGGCAAAAACCAGACATCACACACACACACACACACACACACACACACACTCACAAATTAAATTGGCAGTCTATCTCTTTAAGAGGTAGATAAGTTTAAATTTTTATTATAACTCAAAAACCAAATGATCGCATGAGTAACTTTCCATTCCTGTGTGTTCTTGGTAAGACAAGCCTAGGAGGTCCTGCTGTTGTCCAAAGTTTCTCTGCTCCTCCCAGTATCACTGGGGCTGCAAAGGAAACCTGAGGTACACATTTCTGCATTCCCACGTCTAATCTTGGCTTATCTTTCTCTCAGCAGCAAGGACTTTAAACTAGTAAATGTTGTTTTTAATAATATTTTTGAATCTCAGTGAAAAGGTTTAAAAAACAAGTAGATCCAGTTACATTGCAAATAGGTTCACTGGATTTGTTTTTTAAGGAAAGTGAAATTCAGTACATTTCTAAGTTCTAGAAATAATCAAATTTTCTGGGTTTTTTTTTTCCAGTCTAGATCATAATTCTGGTCCTAGTTCCTAAATGCCCCTGCACAAATCTAATTAGAAAACGAGAAAGCCGTGAGTGGGCACCTTTGTAGCTTTTTAGGCTGAAGCCAGAGTTCAAACTCCAGGCCAGTGGACATAAAGGCGAAATTCATTCTCCTTATCCCAAAACTTTTAGCCTGGCCACTCGTGACCACATAAACCTGGAGTACTTTGGTAGGAAGGGGAAGAGACCTTAGAAGTAGATCTGGTGCTACTTGGGCGGGATATTACAGGTTCCTACATGAGCCTGCTCATAAAGGTAAGTGTACTGAAGCCAGGTGTATACACACTCTTGACCTTGACACTGTGCTCTTTGGGGAGGGGAATGGTGGGAGGAGGGCAGAATGGTGGCCATACTAAAGCCCCTTTCTTGGGCCAGCAGTAGGGAAGATGCTACGATTGATGGCTTTTTTCCCCCCTCTTTGTCTCTTTTGGCCCAACATGGCTGGGATCCTCAAAGTTCATCACAGAAATTATATAGGACGGAGAAAAACATTTGAACAAGGGTGGTGTCGTAGGAGGCCAGCTGCAGGAAGCCTGAGTTCTGGGAAGCCGGCCTTAGGTGGAACAAAGGCCATTGTCTTCCTATTCCAAGAACATCATGTAGGATGGGCTCCCCCTCTGTAAACAAGCTGGGGTTGAGCTGGAGCCAAGCCCAGCTGAGCTAGGAACACGAGTCCCACCATTGCAGACTGCAGCACACACTGGCCAGGTCCAAGGCCCTCGGGCAGGAGTTTCCGGGGTATTCCACCTCAGCCCTTCACGGCATTCCTTTCCTAATGTGCAGAAAACTCTGTGATGCCTGCTCCTGTGTCCCTGCAGATAACAACGCCATCTCAGAACTCAGCTCCCTGCACGACGAGGAGGACAACAACTTCCGCCAGCCCTACCACCAGATGCGGAGCAAGCCGTTCCCTCTGTCTGGGGACTTGGAGAGCAACCCTGACTATTGGCCTGGTATCCTGGGAGGCAACAGTGGCACCAGTCGGGGGCCAGCCCTGGAGTATAACAACGAGGACCGAGAGAGCTTCAGGCACAGGTGATGGCCGTCGGTGGGCAGGGGCCACCATGTGTCTAGTCTAGATTCTTCTAGCACGTCTCTTTCTATGGGCTGTGGGATAGCTCTTTCTTACAGATAACACACCCCAGTGAGATCGTGTGTGAGAAGTGCTCGTTTAAGACTTTTTGAAATGTGTGTCTTAGGCCCCTTAATGAACCCGGACATTGCTTTCCTCATGTTTTGTCCTATAACCAGCTGTCATCTCCATTGTCCGGGTCATTTGTCAGACATCACATTGGCATCCTTGTAATTAATCCTTTTACTTCTAAAAGTCAGCTACTGTTATTGTCTGTTTTTAAAGGCAAGACAACAGAAAGTTCCAGACGCTAAGAAATTTGCCAGAGTGATAAGCAATTTAACAGTTTGGGAGACACCTTCATCCCTGACTGGCACCTTCACCCATTCTCTGCCCTTCAAGGACAGTAGGCCCCCACCTTTCTTTTACCATTACAGAGGTCTCTTTGGCCTCCTGACTTAGTAGGTAACTTGGTCCTTGGCTCTGAGGGAGAGACAGTCCTCTCTATGTCATCAAATATTCCAGTCTCCAGGGACCAGAGTTGCTGTGGCTGTGAGGGTGGGCGGAGTGTGTGGCTGTCACCCAAGGGTCTCATCAAGATCAGAAGGTGATCTGTTTCAGCACTACCCAGATTGCAAGGTATTTTCAGATACGCAACTCCATCCTGGTCTGTCATACAAACGCATGAAAGAGCTAGGGTTGCCCTTGCCGGACGTACAGCATGCAAGGTGCCGAGGTGACTCATCCTCCCGGGTGGAGGGCAGAGGCTGAGCCTCTGGAACACGGGGGTGTCCTGCAAGGTTTCCCTCGCAGATGCAGTAACCAGTGGCCATCTGCCTGCAGCCAGCCGCGCTCCAAATCCGAGATGCTGTCGCGAAAGAACTTTGCCACGGGCGTGCCGGCGGTGTCGATGGACGAACTAGCGGCCTTCGCAGACTCCTACGGCCAGCGGTCTCGACGCACCAATGGTAACAGCCATGAAGCTCGGACCGGGAGCCGCTTCGAGCGCTCCGAGTCGCGGGCCCATGGCCCCTTCTACCAGGACGGCTCGCTGGATGAGTACTATGGGCGCAGGCGCAGTCGCGAGCCTCCGGGAGATGGGGAGCGTGGCTGGCCTTACAGTCCCGCGCGTCGCCGGCCACCGGAGGATGCTCCTCTGCCGCGCCTGGTGAGCCGGACCCCGGGCACCGCGCCCAAGTACGACCATTCGTACCTGAGCAGCGTGCTGGAGCGCCAAGGGCGATCCGAGAGCACCAGCCGCGGTGGCAGCCTGGAGACGCCGTCCAAGCTGGGTGCGCAGCTCGGCCCGCGCAGCGCCTCCTACTACGCCTGGTCGCCGCCTGCCACTTACAAGGCCGGGGCCAGCGAGGGCGAAGACGAGGACGATGCTGCGGACGATGACGCGCTGCCTCCCTACAGCGAGCTGGAGCTGACCCGGGCCCCGTCCTACCGTGGCCGCGACCTGCCCTTCCACAGCAATTCGGAAAAGAGGAGGAAAAAGGAGCCCGCCAAGAAAACGGTGAGGGTGAACTCTGAATCCTCCAGAGCTGGGTGGGGGTTGTGGGGATGCAGATCCCCTGGCGGGAAATAAGGGGTTAGGGTCACCAAGTCATCTACTTCACTCTTTTCAGGGTCAGGTGGAGGAAGGAGGAAGTAAGGGTGTGACTCTCAAGAGACAACAACAGCAACAAAACATATATATATATATATATATATATATATATATATATATATATTAAAGTAGATAATATGTAGGTTATTGTAGGAAAGGCTTTCAAAATCGTCTCCACTGGCCTTTACCTGGGTTCTCGTGGTCTGCATGTAAAATATTCTATGCATGTTTATGTGGCCATTCTTCTCTCTCAAAGAGCACACATCCCAGAGACACCAACCAAGGACAACTTCCTTCCTCCTGATTATGACTGAATGTATGCCGGGTACAGCACCTTGCATGTGTGAAGGAAGCCTTTGCCTCCGCTCAATTCTCCTATAAATGGACTTATATAGACTTTACTGCTTCTTTGAATGAAAGAGCACTCTGCCCTTCCTTCAGCCCCTGAAAGTGAACTGTGCACTTCAGAAAAGTTGGGGAACAGTCACATGTCCACAGAGCGGCACCAAAGTACTTCTGTTCCCTACCTCCCCAACACCACTCCCACACACACATACAGTGTGCTTTGGATATCACTCTCCATGCCGAGAATTTCTGTTTATCAGGTAGCCTGCCCACTCGGCGTTTTATTTTTCCCCATTCTAAGCTGGGCTGCCTGTCTACCTTCCTGACTTTTTCCTTTTTGGTGGAGCGCAAACGCAGGGCCTTCCCCATGCCAGGCAAGCACTCACTCTACCCCTGAGCTGCATACACCTCAGGTCTGAGTGGATTGTTTTTGTTTTTTTGTTGTTGTTGTTGTTTTGGGTTTTTTTTTTGAGCATGCAATATGGAGAAAAAGACCATGGACAGGAAAAAGGTGTTTGGCTTTATTATTAACTTCCCCCACACAACTATCTTTTGTTGTTCTTGAACTAGAGAAATGCCATGACCAAGGTACCGTGAGCGAGGAGGAAACTTTGAGGTGACTCAGGTTAATGGCACACCACCCACACTTAGTGTCATAGCGTTCCAACCGTCATTACTCTGCAGGCAATGGAAACTTATCCTTTGGCCATGGAACTGAGCTCCATCCGATGTATGCTGACTTTATTTTCTGGGCTTTGGGATAATCATCACACATCTAACAAAGTCCTGAATCAAGGCATGCCTGGCTTTGTGCAGGTTCTCAACTCTCCCAGTTAGCAGTCAATTGTGTCTGCTGCTCTGTGGGTCTGGGGTTTAATGTGGGACTCTTTCTGCTTTTCTCTAGAGTGACTTTCCAACCAGAATGTCCCTTGTGGTCTGATGGCTCAAGATGCATCTCCGGATGCCTAGAAATCAGATGCAGACTGCTGGGGCGAGGCACAGATCTGAGAGCCAGCAAGCCGAGGACCTTCTCTGACCAACCACCACTCTGGAAGATGTGCTGATCTCTGCTTTAGGAAGGGATAGTAGGCATCCTTTAAGGGGGCTGATTTCAAATCCTAGTGCCCATCTAGCTTGAGAAACTCACCAAGAAAACAATGATGTGTGAGAACATACCACATAATAATCCACAGGGTTTATCTTGCCCCGCTCTACCCCCCTCCCGCTTCCTTAGCAGCATCAAGACTCTATGTCCAGTTCTGAAACAGGTAGCTTTGGACCCATGACCTCTAAACACTACTATGCTTATGGAATGTTTTTCTACAAGTGCTGTTCTGTGCTTAGAGGCAGAAAGTTTTATTGCTACCGTTAGAAGACATTCTGCTCACAAGAGAGATAACCTCAAGGTAAAATGTACCTTTTATCCCCTTCACTTTCAGTCACTGGTCAATGAGTCTTGTTATGCTAAAATCAGAAGGCCTTTGGTGAGCTTAGTGGCCGTGACCTCCTGGGCAATCACAGAAATGACTCCAATTTGCTGCTCTGACTCACAATTCTTAAGTGGCCAGGACAAACAGGATAGCATTTTGCAACGCTGTCTAAGTGGTCTTTCTTTTTCCATTCAGGCGACGTAAGCTGATTTTCATCCTTCTGTTGTACACAGCGGCACCCAAGCCTTGAACTCCTAAGGTCTCTCTCCCTCTCCTCTTCTCCCCTCTCCAGCATTTTTCAGGGGCTGGTGTGTCTGAGGGTGTTCCACTCCGCTCTGCAGTGTGAATAGCTTGTCATCGGGTGCCTTTGACAGATGTTTAAAATACACACGTGAAAGAGAAGGAGAAAAAGAGAAAGCGATGATACACGCTGAAAAATGGGAAAGGATTTAAGAGGAAAATAACGTATAGTCTCATTATATCTTGAATGTGGGCTGCTTTCCCCACAAACACACTCTGGTTTTTTTGTTTTTGTTTTTGTTTTTGTTTTTGTTTTATTGGATTTGCACTTCATTTACAGATGATTTCTGCCATCCTGATCCTGCCACTGCAGGGCACCAGGGATGTGGTGTCTACATCTTTTGCCCTCACTGGCCTGCCACTGTAGATGCTTTGGCAAGAGAGACACCACTTTCTCAGCAAGAAGCATTTCCTCTTCCTACCCTTGCAAAAAGTGATTGGTTTTGCCTAACTCCAAAACTGAGAAGGCTCTGGACTTTGTAACATGTGTAAACTGCCAAAGTAGCCGTAAACGCTTCCCTTTTCGAGTTCCTGTGCATGGAGTTTGTCCTCTCTCGCTGCTCATGGACCCGAGCAAATGTACCTGAACCATCTGTCCTACGTGGTGAGAGGAGTGTGGCCGCTGTTATTGTTGCGTGTGACAGTAGTTTTATCAACTCAGCAGACACAGAAGAGCATCTAGTCACGACCAACAAAAGAACTGCCTAGCTGAGCCAAGCCCAAACTGGGGGTTCCCAGTTGAAAAAAGAAGTTTGGTACTCCTGTGTGTTCCTTTATTGTCAAGGCTAAACCTCTCTCCTGTCAGAATGCTTGGCCCTGAATCAGATACTCACCCAACCTTAGGTATCCTACAGCCCTCACTTTGTTTGACAGACTTTGCAGTTTGCATGTTTGTGGTGAGTCACGTGATTGGGTGACAGGACTGGAGGAAGATGATACTTGCTATCCCACAACCCAGTGGTCGTCTGTTCTCTACTTCCTGATCTGTGTATAGCCTCTGAAGAAGGTTGGTCAGAATTTCCTCAAGACTTTTCCAGGACCGCCTGACGGGAATTCCAGAGTCTGTTCTTCTAGTATCCATTGTTTCTCATACATTTCCAAAAAGAAGCAAAAAAGGTCCCATGTATGTGATGGGTGAGGGTTGGAGGGATAAGCTAATATCACTGCCTGGAGGAGTATTGGCATGCCAAAGGAAGTCATGGTTACTTTGGCCTGAGCTAGGTGGAACAGGAAGATACTTCAGCCCAGTGCTGGCACTTCCAAGGGCTGGAAGACAAAAGCCATAACCCTGGTGCTGAGTTTTAGGCTTGATAATGCCCCTGGCCTCAGAAAGCCTAGATCTGGTCTGTCTGTTTGGGCTCTAAATCAATATGACAAAAACATCATTTCCTAATCACCAGCTTTTGAGTTCAACCTGCTCAGGCACTTTTGAAGAATATTGGCTAGCTGCAGTAGCTATTGCTATACTGAGCACTGTGTCAGGTTGCTGAGCACCAAAGAGCCCCATAGCACAGGCTTCAGAGACCAAATATATTGCTTTGGAAAGCCAGGGGCATGTATGAGCTAGGTGAGAGCTGAGAGGAGCAATAGTAAAAACTGTTAAAATTGGAAATATAATGTTCCAAGGCAACAAGACTATAGGCCGGCAATTTAAAAAAAAAATCAATGTAAAGATGATAACAGGATTTTTGAAATAACTGGGGGAAGGGAGGCAACAGATTGCTCTTTGTAGGGCTGCGTAAATCATTTGGGCTTCCAGACCTTCAGTAGTGGGGGAAAGCAGTTGCTTCCGGGTATGTGGATAGGAGATAATGCTGAGCGGACAAGGCAAAGCTGGCTGTCCTCCGTGCCCTTGACTTTTCTTTATACGGCCCTTTGTTTCTTCTCCACATAGTGTGTCCTGCATAGGAAGTGCCTCTGCGTATTAGTTCCTTTCCTGTTTGTCTAGGGCATAAGGTAAGTCTGGTATAAGATGTGATCTCCATCCACTTGAGTCCCTACAATTTAATAAGGATGCTCAGACATGCCCAAGAAAGGATAAGGATATTTTATGCATATGATCGGAAATAGTGCTATGGATAAATTATAATAAACCCAGAGATTTAAATTTTTTAAACTTAAATGGAAATATTTTGATATTTAAGTGTTGTGTTTGTCCATCCATCCCATTTTTTGGGGGGACATGCTCAGTGATCTGCAAAGCCAGGCTGTAAAACTGAGCTGTAAAGAGATAAAGGAAAAAGGGAGAGGGCTGAGTGGCAGGGCACCTGGAGGGGTGGTGCTGGAGCTCCTGTCTTTGTCTCTGAGTCACAGCTGAGTCAGGGACAGGCTGGAGGAGGAAGTGTGGAAGCAGGTGGCGGGAGGTGTCCCGTGGTGCTCAGAGTTCTTCTCTAGGCTGTGTAGAGACTCATTAGGAGACTGAGGATGGTAATCAGTTCTTCCACCCAAGCAAGCCCAGGGGGAGCTCAGCATCTGGTCCTCTGAGTATTTGTATCTCTAGCTTGGGGTGCAGGATTTGTGCAAAAGCAAGAAGTCTCACACAGTCTGGGTGTCTCTCCTCGCTTCTTATGATCCCCACTCTGCACTTGGTGTCGGGCTGGACATACCAGGGTGAGCGGGGGCTGGCACTATCTATAGCAATCTGGCTAGAGCTTAAGCAGTCTTCAAGAGGAACGAAGTGACCGATGCTGTTATAGTTCATCCACTCCCCAGCCCTCTTTAAATAGACAGATAAACTCATTCTCCCAAACGACGTCACAAACCCATCTGATTTTTAGATTCCAGTCTTCAGACCTTTGCTATCGGGTCTGTGTTTCCCAAATCTGCCTGGCTATAAGAATTACTTGAATTAGCAGAGGACCTGAGTTTGGTTCCCAGCACCCTCATGGTAGCTCATAATTTTCTGTAGCCCCAACTCCAGGGGCCTCAGTGATCTCTTAGAATATCCGGGAGCACTATAGTCACATGGTGCACTTACATGTAGGCAAAATACTTACAACATACAAATAAATGTATTCTTAAAAAGGAGGCTGAAGGGGTGGCTCTGTAGTTAAGAGTACTGGCTACTCTTCTAGAGGGTCCACATTCACTTCCCAGCTCATGGTGCCTCCCAGCTCCAGTTCTAGGATCCAATACCCTCTTCTGGCCTCTGCAGGAACTGCACACAACTGTGCACAGACACATGCAGGCAAAATACACACATAAAAAAGATGTAAAGCATTTAAAGACTACTTGGTAATTATTTGTCTGCAGGGCTGGGAATGTAACTCAGTTGGGAGTACTTGCTTAGGATGCGCAAAGCCGTGGATTCAATACCCAACACTGTACAAACTAAGAGTAGTGCCACATGCCTGTAATCCCAGCATTTCGGAGGTGGATGCAGGAGGTTAGAAATTCAAGGTCATCATTGGCTAGTTAGTGAGTTCAAGGCCAGCCTGGGCTACACGATACTCTGTCTTAAAGGGTCAAACAATAGCAAGTCAAAACACAAGAATTACTTGACAACCACTGTCAAAAAAAAAGAAAAAGAAAAAAAAAACCTGGGCTGTGTCTTGGAGAATGGATGGGTGGGTCTGGAGTAAAGGCTTGTACTCTGAACACGTGCTTTCAGAAAGCTATGTATCAGATACCTTTGGGTAATGCTACCCTGAATCGTACCTCTGGTGCACCCCACCTCTGGTGCACTCCTGACTGCTGACCATCCACATTGTTTGAGTTGGGGATTATTTTATTCAAATATTGGTGTGAGGTCCCTCTGACTCCCTTTGGGTTGGCACTGATGAGGCACCGAGCAGTCTGGCTGTGACACTGGAGACTGGCGTACCACAGTCCAGCTGAAAGGAAGCGTTTCAGGGGGGAGAGATGGAAGCCCTCCCCAGGAGCCTGCTTGATATGTTCCAACTCCCAGAATAGTGATCTGTTGTGACAGCCTCAGATCAGACAACAAGAATTACAGGTAATTTTCTTATTCCCTTGATGCCATCCTGAATAAAACTTAGATTGTGAATAGAAAGAAAGAAAGCCATCAGGGAAAATGGCAAATGTAAATCATTTTTAAAGGGTACAAAATAACAGGCTTGCTAATAACATAACTTTCATGTTAGGACCAAAAGCGGGTGGAGGAAAAGAATGAAATATACAACGTTAGCACTTCCAAAAATCAGGTTTAATTGCTGCCAGAATCTTGTGGGAGTTTAGAAGTGACGTGTAAAGTTTAGAAATCGTCTATGAGAAATCTAAGGTCCTAGAAGCAAGATAGTGCCTAGTTTCCCCTGCCAGGACCCTGCCTCCTAGTCATGTGGAATGATCACTGAAGCTCAAAGGCCCTTGTGACATCAGAGTTGAGAGGGAGAAGTTGAGTTGCTTCAAGCAGCAGCCTCAGGTTAGCATCGTTGGGGTGATAAGGTCAGTTTCTAATGCTACATACATTACCTCTGTGATACATTGCTGTTTACAGACCAATTCTGCAAGCATTCTCTCTTCTGTTCTTCACAGCAAGCCCTGTGATAAAGGCGGGGTAGGTGTTCTCCCATCCTGCAGAATGTGGAGCTCCCAAGGGACTCGCCTACTGCAGGAAGGCTTTCAGAGTCTCTAGAAGGCCTTCTGACTCTCGGGTTTCTTGCCGACCCCCGCAGTACTCACAGGCCCAGACTTCAGCTTGTTCTTTGCACAAATGTGTAGTAGAGGAGAGTCCTGGACTCTGTGGTGAGGAGGAACCACGAAGACAGGCGTTTGTCACTTCATCTAACCACATGTCATTCCTAGAAGTCTGCCCCGAGAGGGAGGTGTTTCTGCTGGAGAAGAGTTTCATTCTAGACACCGTGCTGTGATGGGGGAAGGCTTGGATAAATGTGCTGCAACTTCCTGGATTCTTCTCCAAGAGGAATTTCTAAGCCTAGCTACAGGTTCATCCGAGGTGCAGAATTCCAGGGCTGTGGGCAGGAGCCATCATCTTCACTATATTTTGAGATTTTTAAAGGTAGAGCTGAGGATCTGGGTCTAGAGGGAGACAAAGAAGGCGAGGAGAAAGTTGTAGCAGTTGAGGTAGAAGTCTCGTTAGAGGTTTTGGTGGGGCTGACTGATGGGGTTAAATGTGGTCTGACTTCTTTTATCTAGAAGACTGAGAAAGATGCCCATAGCTTTTCTCCTGCCACATTTATTAACAAAGGCGTTAGACACGACTCTATGAGGAATCGCCTTGTGAAATCAAAGAACGTGACATTCGAACAGTGGGATGGAGGGAAGACGCCTACTTCACGAGAGTCACCTGCCCAGTTGTTGTTGTGCCTTGTCTGTGACATCAGAACAGAAATGTTTGTGTCACTGTTGACCATGATGTTTTCCCTATGTCAGACATACAAGTGCATTCGATTGTAATGTTTTAAAGTAAATAAAGCATTTTCATCTACTTGTGCTGTGCTCAACTGACTACGCAACTCGATTCCGGTTTGTTACGGTCTTGCAGTAAGTGTTCTCTCCGAGAGAAAGAGTCATACAGAGGTGACAATGTGTGGGAATGGAAGCATGAAGCCAAGTGCTTGGTACTGATGACATCCTCATCCTCACACTGCAGGACACACTGTCCAGAGAATGGTCTCAGTACTATATTGTAGAGGCAGACACAGACATCTGTGGGCTCTCGCAGATTTCAGTGAGCTACGGGGCCAGGTCAATTCTGCCGCCACTCACTGCTGCAGTATTTCAGGATGCAAGGCAGATGAGGTAGTTGGACAATGATGGTATCTGGCTCCTTGTCAAGGAGAGAGTCAGCATTTCCCTGATCGAACTTACATTTGGGGAAGGGAAGAGGGAGGCCATTGGTGGGAGGACATTTTAGTTTCTGATGAGATTTGAGAAATTTCGCAGCACCCCAATTAAGGGGAGGCAGTTAGGAACCTTAGTGAGCATGAACAGTGGTGAGGACCCTGGGGAGCTATCAACCCTTGGATGGCCAGGCCCTGTCAAGGGATTCCAGAAAACCTGCCCTTCCTTAAAACATTTGGGCTTAACTCTCTTCTTCTAGTAATTCTGTTAAATATTTCCATGTAGGCTTAATTTAAAATTAGATTCTAGAGCAGTTAGACTCTCACACCTTTTCTGGACTTCCTGCTATTTGATTAATGTTTTAACTGTTTTTCCAGCCTTTAAAATATTTTTTTTTAATTTTTCAAGTATGTTTAGAATCACCCCCTCCTCCTTCTCCCCTATACATTTTTTTTTCTGGCTGCATTTTAGATTCTTTGTGAACTGTTTTCCTTCCTGAAGGAAGTTTTCTTTTGTGCTGGTCCCATGGTAGGATATGCTGTTGGCCTTTGTTGATCTCAATCAAAGAGCCTTGTTGTCCCCGAAGGGGACGCTCACTCATAAAATGCTTTCTTCACCAGACTGAAGTGGTTCTTCCACTTCCTCCTGGCTCCCCCTGTGACTTCTGAGAGGCCAGCCACCAGCCCCATCTTCCTCCTTTGTCACACACCTGCCTTATTCTTCTGGCTGCCTCTTTCAAAACTTCCTCATTTATTCATCGTGTCTTTCACAACATGCCTCCCCATCCCGCCCATCTCCCTCCCCACCCCAAGTAAAGTAAAATTTCAGGGAAAAGGGGGAAGGGGAGAAGGAGCAAATCTCTCCCTGGAAGTTGCCATGTGACACAGTGAGGCCCACAATAAACCCTGTTAGCCCATACACCTTTACGTGCAGGTGTTCATTGCAAAGAACCCTGTGTTCTGCTGCTCTTCTATGCTGGGCCCTCACTGGAACCCTTCTTGCATAGCCTGCTTCTGGCCACTTTTAAACTTTCCCCTCTGTCTCTAGTGTTCTTAGGTTCCAATGCACACGTCACTGTGGGTTTCTTCTTATTTATTCCAGCTAGGACTCATGCTTCCTCAGACCGTGGGTTGGCTTTTCGTCAAATATGGAAATCTTGAAGCTATTAACACATCAAATATTTCATCTTTAAACTCTCTTTTGACAAATCCAATTAAACATTAACATCTTCTTGTTCTACTCTGTATTTCTTAATATAGTTCTGTGTTTTCTCTTTCTTTGTCTTTTGCTCTCTATTCTGGGCAATTTCTTCATGTTTGTCTTTCAACTCGCTCATTTTCTCATCAGCCGATTCCAGCTCTGGTTCTAATAGGTTTTTCCGTTATGGCTGTTCCTCTGAGCTCTTTTTACAAGTCTGTGTGGTCATTTGACACTGTCACCCCTTATTCGTATCTTCAGTTTCACTTTATTTCTTTGTAATTATCCATCCAAATTTTATATAACCCATATTGCAATACCTACAATGTTTGTAGCTTTGATTATGGAGATTGCTAATTAGCTAACTGTTTCCCATGATTTCCTGTGCTTTTGTGTGATTTTTGCATTTTAATTGTGAACATGTGTGGTGGAATATGGTGATATGTTAGTGTTAGTCAAGAAGAACCCTTTCCTACTTTTTAACATACCCTGCTGCCCCAAATCTATCTATACACAGCAGTTAGAAAGCTTAAGACTAAGGGGCAGCCGGGCGATGGTGGCGCACGCCTTTAATCCCAGCACTCGGGAGACAGAGGTAGGCGGATCTCTGTGAGTTCGAGACCAGCCTGGTCTACAGAGCTAGTTCCAGGACAGGCTCCAAAGCCACAGAGAAACCCTGTCTCGAAAAACCAAAAAAAAAAAAAAAAAAAAAAAAAAAAAAAAAAAAAAAAAAAGACTAAGGGGCAACTAAGTAAACACATGCTAGGCAGAAAAAAAAAATATGTATATTTCTAATGAGATAAAACAGGGTAGTAAGGAGCCTTGATTTTACATGTGGTTCAGAATTGGATTGTTATAAGAGAATGGCTGTTTAAATAGCAGACATAAGATTATTTTAGGGATTAAATGTGAACAGATCATTAATTGTGAGGACTACTAAAGAAATTATTGATCTTAATTTCATTAAAGAAGTAAGGAAAGACTAGACCTATAATATGAGATAGAAAAAGGAGAAGCAAAATGTCTATTTTCCTTTACTTTTGCTAAATCCAATCTAAGTTTTTATATACTGTTGTTTTGTTTTTGTTTTGTTTTGTTTTTTGAGACATGGTTTTTCTGTAGTTTTGGAGCCTATCTTGGAACTCACTCTGTAGACCAGGCTGGCCAGTCTCTGCTTCCCAAGTGCTGGGATTAAAGGCATGCGCCACTACCTCCCAGCTATATACTTTTAATTCAAACAAATAAGTAGGCCGATTTCAGATTCTTCTGGCAGAGACATTTCTCTTGGCAGAGACATCCTAATTCTTATCATACCATGTATGTGAAAGTTCCATTCTCTGCTCAATGGGTTTTAAGCATTTTCCCAGTGCCTTTCAGGTGGCATGAGATGACTCACGCAACATGGCAAGAGAAGACATGGCAAGGCCAGCCAAGGGATGTTAAGTTAGCCTGACTCGCCATCTAGTGGCATGCATTCACAGAACTCCCGACTTTCTTAACTTTCCAGGAGTCGACGTGCTGGACAGAGGCAGGAGTGCAGGGCACTGCTGAAGAGGTGTGTTCTTTAAAGGCGGTGCTTGGAGCATTCCTAGATGAAGAGCTACAAGTCCCCATTGGCTACCGGAAGAGGAAGAATTCGTCTCCTCCTGGGACAGACTCCCACATAGGATGTCTAATCACAGTGCTTAGTTTTCCTCACATGGTACCCTGAAGAGTCTACCTTAAAACAATATGGAAAATTCTAAACTCAAAAACCACCCAGAGAAGCTTACCACTTCCACACGAATAGCTCCCAGTACACATAAAATGATCTGCCAAAAGCTAATTCAACTATGCTCCTTAAAATTTTATTTAAAAAAATTGAAAACTTTATACATGAGCACTGTACCTATACCACTTCTTCTCCTTCCTCCCCATCATATCTCCCTCCCAAATTCATGATCTCTAATCGCTATTGTCATATACTCGCATCCACATGCATGCACACGTGTACATAAACCTAATGAGTCTCTATTAACGTTGCTCATATGCACACGTGTACATAAACCTAATGAGTCTCTATTAACGTTGCTCATATGCCACTATTGTGCTAGCACGTCATACAGGCAGCTCTTCATTTATAGATTGCAGGGTTTGTGGCTGGGTTGGTTTTTACCTCTCTCCTCTAGTAACTTGAAGAGTATCTTCCAGTACCGTGAATGCTAGTCTGTAGGGATCAAGGATCTGAGTAAGCACCAGCTTGACTTTTTCTCTGTGTTCAGTGAGTTATATAGGTGTTATCTTCAGCAATAGGACCTTACCTTCCCTGTTTGTGAAGAGCAGCCAATAGCCCTGGGAACAGCCTGGGTTTTGGAGGTTCCATGGGGCCCCTTTGGAAATCAACTTGATTAGATGTCACCCATTCCTAGTACTGGAAGATTCTTCTGGTGATGAGAGAGATCCATCTAGGGTCCATCTCCCCTTTTTGGTGTTTCCATTTAGATTTACTTCATAAATGTATATATTTTAAGAAACTTCTACTGTATTAGGTTTCCATGTGGCTCTTTGAATAGCCCTTAGTTTTAGCTGCTTCACCCTCTATTCCCTCCCTACTCCCTTCTTTCTTCCCTTCCCCATTTAATTCTCTTGTTCCAGTCTCGTGTGTGTGTGTGTGTGTGTGTGTGTGTGTGTGTGTGCATAAGTGAAGTGCGAATAATAAAACTCAGAGAGAGAAGTTGGAGTTCAACCTGAAGACATGAAAAGCAAAGCAGCCAGCTGCTGGCTCTCTTACCTTGACCTCAGTCCAAAAATGGCGATCCTGCTTCCAGGAATCTCAGAATGAGAATGTGGTAGAAAACTGTTTCCTCCTGTTTTATAATCCTCTTTAGGGCTGGGATTAAGGATTAAAGGCACGCACTGCCCAATTTCTATGGTAAACGTGTGTGGCTACTGGGATTAAAGGTGTGTGCTACCATTACTCGGTCTGTAAGGCTGACCAGTGGGGCTGTTTAACACTCAGATCTTCAGGCAAGTTTCATTAAAATACAATTGAAATGCCACTACACGTGTGTGTGTGTGTGTGTGTGTGTGTGTGTGTGTGTGTGTGTGTTGATGTGAATAAGAATGGCCCCCAAAGGTTCATATGTTTTTATGATTAGTCGTTAGGGAGGAAGTGGAACTACTTGGAAAGACTTAGGAGGTGTGGCCTTATTGGGCTGGTGTGATCTTGTTGGGGGACGTGTCCCACTGGGATTTCAAGGACCTAAACCAGGCCTAATGCCTCTTGCTTTCTGCTACCTCTGGCTCCAGATGTAGAATTCTCACCTCCTTCTCCTGCATCACATCTGCCTGTGTGCTGCCATGCTTCTGTCTCTCGGTCACAGGAGGACACAGCAACAGAGCATCCACTGACAGTGCAGGAAAAAAGATCCTTCACCAGAGATGAATGCACTGACACCTTTGCCCTGG